ATAGACAATTCAACACATACAAAGTCTGATGGATCAATGTTGATAGACCATTCAACACATACAAAGTCGGATTGATAAATGTTGTTAGATCATTCAACACATACAAAGTCTGATGGATCAATGTTGATAGACAATTCAACACATACAAAGTCTGATGGATCAATGTTGATACCGATATGAAATTTTAGGAATTGCAAAAAATTAATAATTTTCCTATAATGTTCTTTTCAAAATAAACATTTTGATATATCTAAACGTTTTTGTACAGTTAACTGTTCAGAAGATACAGAGTGTGACAAACATTTGGCTGTTATGTATACAGATCTTCAATCATCATTTTAAGGTTTAGAAGAGCAGCTAATACCTGAATTAAAAATACTCTTTCTTATAGCTTGCTTTGTATTTTACATCTTATTAAATTATTCACCTTTAGGCATTCTTCAGTTTATCATCAGCCAACAAATCGGGTTAACAAGTACTTGGCCCAAGCCATTGAGGCTAGAAGTATAGATATGGAGAAAGCTACTCATGTCAATATTGTAACACTTGGTTTCAAATCAAAGCAGAAAGAAAAACAGGTTAGCATCATAACACTTTAAAGTGTACTATTACTATAGATATAAGATATTATAAAGATAAAATAATTACTTTTGCTGCTGAACATTAAATAATGTAGCATTATAACACTTTCAATTATGATATTACTATAGAAATAAGGTATTATGAAATAATTACTTTTGCTGCTGAACATTAAATAATGTAACATTATAACACTTTCAATTATAATATTACTATAGGAATAAGGTATTATGAAATTACTTTTGCTGCTGAACATTAAATAATGTAGCATTATAACACTTTCAGTTATAATATTACTATAGAAATAAGGTATTATGAAATAATTACTTTTGCTGCTGAACATTTAGCAATTTGTTATACAGTACTAAAAAGATTATTCAACTTATTACTCTGTTCACCATAAATGATCTCACAAGGATCCATTGTAGTTAAGATCTGAAGAGTGAAAAATACAGAATTTTTTAATAGGAACACTTCTTTGAACCAGAGCTCTTAGTGAAGATGTAACCTAGGTAAACATTTCTCAACATTTGTGAAAAAAAAACAGGTTTAGATACATATATAAATATGTAGAATTGCTATTTCATGTGAATTTAGATAATTTCTGTTGTTAATCCACATACATTTCCTGTTTTATTACTTTTCATATTTAATGAAGCCCTGAACTTCATTTTACTTTTACACAATGTATCATTTATTTACAAGTGTATGTGTTTGTTTTGCTTCTCCAGTATCAAGAAGAAAAAGACCATGGGTTCACCACTAGCATGGCTTGTACCCTAGTAATTTTGTTGTGTGTGGGTTGTTTACAGGCTATTATATTGCCTAGGTAAGGTATTTTTTAATTACAGAAGTTTTTGGTTTAGGTGCAACTTTATGTACTTGTTTTCAAAGTTGTAGAGCAATATTTTGCTGGAAAAAATCTGCTTTTATTGAATTCGTTAAACATCTAAATCCATAGCAATTTTTAAATAACTTGTTATTTTTTTCTAATGTTTGCTACTTTGTGCTTAAGAAGAGTATTTACATTCTGCTTAAAAACATGTGATTCAATGTGTAGGATCAAATGTAGAACTTAGCAAGAGGGCATGCAAAGATAATTAATGTTCTTTTTCAAGCAAAATAATTCTCAAGATTGTAAGAAAGTTCCCTTTTTTATCATATATGAATACAACAATGATGAACAGATAGGTACATAATATCAATGATAAAAAAGAAGAAAGAAGAGTTTCAAAAACAACTTAGATGTATATTTAAAAATATAGACAAAACAACATTTACATTACACAATAAAATAAAAAAAAATTAAAATTGAATATACATGTTTCAGTAATTTCCGCTACTGTCATCAGAAGTAAAATCTACAGAACAAATTTTAAATGCTGTGGTTGAGTTAAAAAATGAATTAAATTATATAAAAGTAACTGCTAATGATAGAGTTTATACTGTTGATATAATTGAATGTTTAATGTAAAGAAAATACCATTTAAATTTCATTAAACAATGCACTAGGTTAAACAGTGTTTATGATAAGCAAAGAAATAGTATGTAACAGTTGTAGTTTGAGTGCAGTCTGTAGTGGCTGTAGAAACTGAAAATTTTAACTAGGTTTTTTTAACAACAACATAAATACATGCAGTCATAGGCCTAGGTGTTTCTTACTATGTTATACTTATACAATTATTTCTTCATCACCGATGTCCAGCTTTTTTGTAGTCTAATAATTTTTTGTCATTTTTCAGACAGCTTAACGTTTGATCATCATCCTCTAATCTCTAACAGTTTAAATGAATTAGATATTCAGATCAGATCGGGACTTAAGATGGGCATTAACAAGAACACATTGTTCTTAAATACTGAGCATGTTTTCTGAGAAGTTGTTGAAGTATGGATAAAGGATGAAATATCAGGAAGAAAGACACCAATAATAACTTTTTTCTTATTGGAACATTGTTTATTTTTTTATTCAGTTCAAAAACAACAAGGATGTTCTATGTGTTTATCCTGAAACTTTCCAGCAAATCTCATAGTACTTAAGTTTATACCTATACCATGTAAGGAAAGGTTGTCAGTTTGGCTTAATTATGGGATAATTGTACTAATTTAAAAATGTGAAGTAGTCTTAGAACAAACTCAACTTACTTAAGACTCATTAATATGGTTTTATATTCCATTGGGGTTGTATATGCTATTCTGTTTAAGGATATGTCTTGTAACTCAATAAAACACTGCAAAATGTAAGCAAATGGTAAAAATATGAGTTTTGAGTTTTACTTATTTACAGGTAAATGTTAAAAGATCTTAAAAAATAACTAGTACTTGTAATTGAATATTTAGTCTCTCCCCCTTCCCTGTGGCTTAGTGCATAGTAAGTTGATAGTTTGTATAACACTAGAAATTTGGATTTCACACTCTTTAGTGAGCACAACATAGATATTCCATTGTACAGCTTTGTAATTAAACAAAAAACAAAGTAATCTATTAATTGTTATTATCTTTATTTAATCTTTTCTTGGTTTGCTCAAGATAACTTGGGTTCCCTAACTGTTTGAAAAATGTTTTCCCTGAGTTAATTTAGTTAAACCATTTCTTATTTTAAATTATATGCCTGAATTTATTCGCATGTTATCATGTATTAAAATAGGCTATCAAAAAGTGAAATAAAAACCTGCCTTTTTTTTTTTAGCTAATTTCCAAAAAAACCTGACACAGAGGGGGTTAATGCAAACATTTTAAGAATCTGGATAAGAAATGTGTTCATTGAGAAACACTTTGAATTTGAAGTTATTTATTCATTTGAGCTAGAAACATGCAGATACTGTTGGAAAAGTGAATGTTCTTCATACTGTTGACATTTTGTTATCTGCATCGAGAAGCATCTTGATTTTAAATGAAGCCACACATTTCAGCTTGCAAATACTGTTGCAATTTTCTCAGTTCTACTGACATATTGTTATCTAGTAGACACATTACAGGAATCTCAATTATAATTAATTCCTCAAATTGTCATAATGAATAATTTTAACAATTACTTAAGCTGTGTTAATATAGCAATAAGTTAAGTAGTTTATAAAACTACAATATTAAACTAGCTGCTTAAACACTTCCAATAAATTTATGTAATGTATATTAAAATTGAGCCAAAATGTTAAATCACTTCATAGACTTATTGTATAATTATATTAGTCAGTTATGAAAATAATTGTGCTTCAGATTAATCAGATTTTTAACATTTTTTTAGGACACTTCTTTTGGTGATTCTGTTTGCAATTGCTTTTCTCTGGATATCAGCTCTTTTTGTTTTATTACTGGCTGCTCGAACAAAGGTAGGTTATGTAAACATTTTTTAACTTCCTTAAAGTATACTATGCTACAAGTTGTTTTTTAAAGGTTTACATTTTCATTTAATAATGATGTATCCATTGTAGAACATCAGTTCCTAATCCATAGTTTTTTAGTAAGATATCAGTTCTCACTGTACTTTTGGAGCTAAAATAAATGATAGATGAAAGTTCTCCTTGCTATGTTTTCGGGCTTAAAGAAAGGTATTAACTTCTTTCTGTGTTTATGGGATTAAAGAAAGATGTAAGTTCTTCTTGCCATGTTTCTTAATTTAATAAAATATATCACTTTTCTCCATGTTTTTTAATTTAATAAAAGATATCACTTTTCCCCATGTTTCTTAATTAAAGGAGAAAATTTTGTTTTTTTGAAAGTAAACTTTTTTTCAATGAAAACAAAAACATTGGTTCTTGCAATATTGTAGAGGAGTATAATGTTTTTAGTTTTGTTTCTTATACTGCTATAAATTTTATTACAATATTTTATGGTTTTGAATAGCTTGCTATGTGTAACTAATAGGAACTAAATGTAGAAATGAGCCAGTTGGAGAATGCAGACATAATCCTATCTTGCATGATATTGATATTTGGAATTCATAGTAACGATTGTGTTATTTACCATTACTAGTATTATACAGTCATGAATTTCACCTGTGATTCTCATTCATTTAGAATTTATTTTTGTGGTTCTTATCTGATGCTTAACCTTTCCTCAGGTTTGATTTAATTTCATCTTTTTTGTGAGAAAAGTTATTAAAAAACATATAAATTGCTTCTGTGCTAAACAAAATGTTCCAGTGCCAAATTAACTCATTTCTTGTTATCTCTTATCTTTCCAACTAAAATTGCTTTAATTTCTGTGTATATCTTTCAAGGAAACCTTTCTTTAGGCACAGCATAAACCATTATATGATTCTTGGAGATCACAAAACCTCTCTCCACAAGCTGATCACATTTCACTTGTATCAGTTACACATTATTTACTTAGGAAATTCAGTTTTTCCCTTGATGTAACCTTAATATAATCTAAACTTAAACAAGCCCCCCCAGTGGCACAGAGGTATGTCTGTGGACTTACAGCGCTAAAAACCGGGTTTTGATACCCGTGGCGGGCAGAGCACAGATAGCCCTTGTGTAGCTTTGTGCATAATTAAAAACAAACCAACTTAAACAAACTAAGAAATTACTGGTTAGAGCTCAACTTGTCCACCTATTGCAGTATGATTACACTTTTTAAAGTCTACAGTCCAACACTATCTATGAAGAGAACCCATTCAAAAATTGCATTATTTGGAGGTAGGTACAGTAGGTTAATTATGTGTACTTTGGTAGTTGTCTTTTGTTTTTTACTTTTTTCCATAAAGATAACTTTCAAAGTACATGAAATGAAATGAGATAATAAAACTTTTATTTCGTACTTGCAGTGTATTTCCTGGGATATTAACCGAGCATTTCTTTTCCGACTTGTTATAACCATTTTTACTGTAGTTTTGGTGTATTCTGTTGCTCAAGTCAATGTGGTAAGTTTATCTTTTTGAATGAAAAGTATTTAAAATTTTGTTGAGTTTATTGATACAAAGTTACTTTTTGAGGAGCATCTATTCATTCAATACAGTTTTCCAGTTTCACAGAAATAACTATGTTAATAAAAATTAATGTAGTGTGTCTTACTTTGAAACTCTAGACACACAAGTAGGTAGAACTATCTGATAGATGGTTTTCTATTGCATAGATATTTTCATAGTAGGTGTACCATACGTACTCTGTAACTTATACTCTATTTTGTTGTCTTTCTTGCATGTATGACAGTATTTGTATTGGCTTAGTTGTTTGACATTATGAATATGTATGTATTAAAACATTTCTAAAATTCAGTTTTGTATGATAAACTTTTTTTACACTTCAAAAAGAAATAATTTTGTAACAGAGAAAAATTAAAGCTTTTTTCCTGGTATACATGCACGATTTTATCAACTGGTTGCAGTATATATCTTTTTTACAAGTGATTGCTCAGTTTCAAACTGATGTTGGGATGATCCCTGTGATGAGCTGAAGTTGGCTATTTAAACAAATTTATTAAGTAACTTTAAATTGAAAAAAAGTAATGAATGACTGAAAAATTTACTGATGCAAGTTTTTTTATATACATATGTATGTAATAAAACAAAAAATTTGTACTATTTTATTTTATTGGTATTCTAACTTTTTTGTTACTCTTCAGAATTAATTCATTAAAAAAGCCCAAAGATATCCTTGTATAAAAAACAAAATAGAGACATATCTATCAAAGACAAAAAAATTACATTGAACCACAGTGTGAATGATTTCAGTTCTATGTTTTTACCATTCTTCCAACAACTGTTAGACAGTTTGTCTAGGTATGAAGAACTCCACGGGGAAACATTATAACCTTTGTCACTTTTGTTCTCAAATCTCTATGAAACACTCATCACCACTGGCTGATTATAAAACATCAAGATGTGAAAAAGTCAAAATATGTAACCAGATTAATAATTGTAAATGAAGACGTTGCTTTATTTGTTCACTTGTGTGTGTTTTACTTTCCTTTGCTGTCTGAATTAAAATTTATTCTCTACAGTACATTTCTGAGCGTGTGTTTTATGGATACTTTTAAATTTATCTATTAGATATCAGTCGTCCTGAATACCACGCATATATCTTATCTATAAATTAACATTTGCATATAATTTATGAATTTTAAGTATCACATGTATTATTGTATTGTATACATTTTGTTTTGTGAAAGCTTTGAAGATAACTATTATATTAATATAATCTAGAACACTTGTATAATTATAGTTTTCCTGTTTCAACAAACCCGTGTGTGTTTTATCAACAACAAATGTGACCCAAGCACCTTTGACATCTGACCATCGATCATGTCCACTACCACAGTATATATACATCAGCTGTTGTTTAACATTCTTTCCTGTTGTTGTTTTTCTCCAACTTCCCATCCTCCTCAAGGGAGCACTGTTGCTGCCAATGGCTACAATTTTTCTTCTAGTGATAGAAGTGACTCATACATCATTATTTGATTGTTATGATTTACAAACAGGGTAAGCAATTCAAGAAATACTTGTTAGATTTAAAAATTTTAAAAATAAAAAATACTTTGTTTTCATTGTCAAAATTTTTAGAGTAAAGAGTTTTAGTTTTGTAAGCTGAAATGCACCATAAGTAATGAGAAAAGACTGCTTACGACAGCAAGAAATATTGTAAACCCATGAATAACTCTTATAAATGTAAAACAAGTTTCTTATTAGATTTTTTATCTTTATTTTGTTGAAAGCTTAAATCTGAAGATGTTTGGTGTATCATTGAAAGAAGCATTTAATTTCTTCATTACTTGAAAATTTATAACACGTCGACCTTCTTTGTTAGTCAGTTTAACTTGTAACAAGATTATTCTCCTAACAAATTTAATTTATGAACATATATATATTGTAATAAAAATCTATAACAACATAAATATTAAGCAAACAAATGATTTTGATCATATTCAAAAACCAAAAGTACAGTAAGATCTGTTTTGTATATTAGATTAAGTATGTACAATAAGCTTAATCAATTTATCTAATGTGAAGAAGTAAAACCTACTAAGTGAAAAATCACAGTTATGCTGACATTTAATATAAGTTTATAAAAATTAAAAAAAATGAAATAAATTTTAGATCAGATGTTCCTCTCCACATCATTGGAATAGTAGCCATTGTCCATTTCTTGCTTGCAGTGCTGATACAGGGGCGTCAAGTGGAATGGACAGCTAGGTTAGACTTTCTTTGGAACACCCAGGTGAGAAAACTAAATAATATAAGAATTAGAAATAAATGTATGACTAATTAATATTGAGAAACTTTTATAATATTTAAAAAAGAAATGTTGCAGAGGGCTTATGTATTGTTAGAACTCTTAATAGCATATTCTTTGTGTCCTTCCTATTTTTCTAAAATTATAAAAACTGACAACCCATGTGGATCTTTATTATGAGCATGTATACCTGACTAGCATTTTTAACAGTTGTGTTTTTTAACTTGTATTTCATGTTATTATAGAGATACGTACATCATTGTATATTTTTATTTTATATAAAAGATGGGAAAGACGATAAAAGAGTAGACTGTAACATGCAAAAACATGAATTTATGATATGGTGCACCAAATGAATCAAAATTAAACAACAGAATATGAAATCTAATAAAAATTATGGTTTTAAACTCTGAAAGCTGGAAAAGAATTAGAGACCAATAGGTGCAATGCACGTGATAAAAAATAATGTAAACTGATGATCCAAATCCCTCTTAATTTCTCTATTTTTGGATTTCAGATCAAAGGAGTGCAAAAATAGCAGTTCAAATCTATATTTTGTTTTCCACAAATTATTACCAGGAGCCCTTTCATTCAATACCAGAACTTGTCAGATGGGCTGAACAATAGATTGAATAGAGGCTAGCATATCTGAAATACTATTTTTATATATATGATATGAGACTTTAAAATTTATAGTTTAAATTCTGAAAGATGGTGAAGCATTGGAAACTAATACTCAAATGCCTAAAATTTGTGATAAAAATCACGTAAACTGCAGATGGTTCTTTCACAGTCCTCTTAGTTTGTCCATTTCAGATTTCAAGTCATAGGTATATAAAAATAGCATTTCAGATCCATCTTTTGTTTTTCACAAGTCACTGCTCATGATCAGTAATGTAACTGATGTAACCCTTAACTCGATGGTGACTGAAGCAGGACGAAAAGTTGTTACTTGTTTTGTGTTGTAAATAAAAGTTTTTAATACCCATATCGGCCGTCTTTACTATATATTTATTTCAAGTGGGTTCCTCGATATTCTTAACACTAATTTGTTATGAGGACTCATCATCTGGGCTGGATGACAGAGACAAAAGCTTATGTGAAATGCTATATATATATATATGCAGTCAATACAAGACTTTAAAAGTTGTAGTTTAAATCAATGGTGTAGACTGTACAGCTACATTTTGTAGTACTTGGGCCCTGCCAAAATCTGTTAGACGTGTGATGTCATATCAGGCTATTACTACTTATATTAATTAGTTTTAAGTTGAATAACCAAATATTACTGAGTTTGTTTGTTTTTAGAGAAAATCACATTGGGAATCAAACCCAGGATTTTAGGGTTGTAAGTCCGTATACTTACTGCTGTTCTACTGGGTGACTATATTACCAAGAGAAAAGCATGCAACTTAACTTTTTATAAATGAAGCATTAAGGGGAAAAACAACAACTTTAACATATATAAGAACCACTAACATTTAAACAAGTTTTAAAAACTGTATCTTATTAATTTACAATATTTATAAGTGCACTACAGTATTAACAGCATTGAGTTTTATAATGCTTTGCACATCTCCTGTCATGCCAACATGAAAAACTAAAAAGAAAGCTATCTTCATTGTATATTAAGTAAATAATAAGCCTTTTAAAAACGTGTATGTTGTAACACAGAGTATAATTGTAAAATGTATTTTATTAAGTGTTTTAATAGTATACTTGTGTGTCTTAATAACCAAATGATATATGAAAAAACTATTTCCCCATTTTAATGCTCTGACACCTGCTCTTGAGTTGAAGTGGTCACATGATGCCTGTCACCAGCTTATAAGGGTGAGTGACAGCGTGTGTGTGCTGGATAGTCTGAAAGAGCTCTACCAGTGGAAATGGGGGAGGATTACAAACAATCTTAGTGCTCTCTGACACTCTTGAGAGTTTGGTTGTAAATAAATAAATAACCTATATAAATTTGTATATACACATTTTTAAGAGTTTGAAGTGTCAGGACTCAGCTCCAACTTCAATTGCAGGAGCAGAATTTCGGTGTGCTCCAACACTACCACAACCCTGGTTTAAATGCCAAAAGGTGGTAAAGAATTGGAAATCAATAGACCTAGCATTTGTGATATAAATCATGTAAACTGCAGATGTTTTTTCTACAATTTTCTTAGTTTGTGCATTTTGGGTTTCAAATCAGAGAGGTTTAAAAATAACACATTTGCACTTTACATGACTTTTATCACAAATGATGTATGGTACTTGTGAATATCATTCTTGTTTGTAGTCTCACACTTGTATTCAACTCTTTTTATCCAAATTAATTCTTTATGACCTTTAAAAGTTTGTACAAGCTCAATTTTATTTTTTCTCGTGCTTGAACATTCTGTACTGTAAGTTATTGATTCAGTTCTTTTGATCTTTGAGTTTAGAACTTTAATCAGATCTAATAGAAATGGATGTAAGAAGTTGAATTATTGAATATTTTGAAGGAATGAGCCTCTGAGCCCATTTGATTGAGGGAACAAAATATGTGTTCCAAGAAATTTTGTGTTTAGTAAAATATTTCTGATACCAAGCCAGTTGATATAACAATAAAGGATATAAAGCAGTTATCATGTAAATAAAAAAAAACTTTATGATACTACCAGTATTTAAGAGTTTTCAGTTTCTAAGGTTATTCTAGATGTTTTTAGCTTTGGTCAGCAATAATTGTATTTGACTGTTTTGATCACCTTTAAATCTTCTACAATGTTTTAACATGTATACCTTCTACCAATCAGTTGACCATCCAATGAATTGGTACCCCAACACTTCCATTTCCTTTTTCCTACCCAAATTCCAACAAAGTCATGATAAATAAGTACTCTTGTAACAACCAAACTAAAAATTCAACTCACTAGGTATTGCCAGTAAGACTTTTTAACTACTCAGTCTATACTAGATGTCAAAATATACATCAACATATAAGATCCATATAGAAATCACATATATAAATAGATAATAACCGTGCTCAGTTTTGTTTCATGTCATTGAATGGATTGGTTGGTTGGTTGGTTTTTGTTAAGCACAAAACTACACATTGGGCTATCTGTGGGGCATTAGAAGTATTAGTGGCATTTACAAAACCCATTTCAGTAACTGACTTTGTTTGGCTTGAGGTCAAACGTTTTTATGATAACAAGAAGTAGTGTGTTAACTGGTATTTGGATTAGTTAAGAAGTTCTTTATCAGCAGTAACTAGTGCTTTAATTTAGTCAGGAAGATCACTTATTTAGCATCACCTTTTTGAATAAAATCTTATAATGTGCAGGTGTTGGCATTCTGTAATATTTCAATTGCTGGTTATGATTATTTTTTATTTGTTGTCAAGTTTTATTGAGTCTGCCAAATCTTGCACGGTTTTGATGATTTCTCATGGGTGGGAGAAACTCCGTTCACAAGGGAAGTCATTCTTTCAACTAGAGCTAACTATTCTCTACAATTTGTGTAGCATTCTTTGAGTTTTTTAAGTAGGTTTTATAATAATATCAAGTGTTATTGATTTCAATTTTTATTTTGTTAATTTCAGGCTTATGAAGAGAAGTGTGAAATGCATAAACTACAGAACAGCAATAGTCGTATTTTATTCAACCTGCTTCCAACTCATGTTGCTACTCACTTCTTGGACAATCAGTTTAGAAACAATATGGTAATTCATTGAATCATCAAAAGAAAAAGAAACTATTGTCATGAAAAACAATAGATTCATCTTTGATCGATGCTCGAAAGTCACTGTTATTCTTTCAAGGCTTGTGCAGAAGTTAAAACATTTACTTATGAGTGTGTAATGGACGTGTGATATTTAAATTCTGTTTGTTTAATTGAAACTTTTCACTTTTCATTTATGTAATATGCTAATTTAAAGTTTAAAAGTTCAGTATAATTTTACATATATAATAATTATGTTGCTGTATATTGGTTCATATTACTAAAAAAGATCTATATGTTTGGATGCATAAGATTGAGTTTTAACTTATCAAATTCAACATTTTATTCACTTCACAGAAGATGTATATATATATGTATGAATATCATAAATAACTTCTGATCAAAGTAACATACCCAAATAGATCAGAACTAAAAGTAGTCCAGTAAGTAATTAAGCTAGTTTCATTAATATGTTGGATTATGTAGGAGTATGCAATGTCATAAGATAAAAATATACAGTGATTTTATATATATATATATATATATATATGGACTTCCCTTACCAAATACTAATGTTCCAACAACTGCCATACAGAGTATTATACATTCGCAACTTCTTAGATATTGTAACATTTTGTAACATTATACAGATTTTAATATAAGTATATTAGTACAAAAATTGATTTACAATAGCTTTGATGAAAACACCATAATCAAATATTTGAAATTATTTGATAATAAATATAAAAAGTACTTACACAAATTTGAAAATAATGACATAAAAAAATATTTTATGTACAATAGAAAATAATTTTTGAAATTCATTGATAAGAGGGGAAATAATTAGAATTGCTTATTTGGACATTTTTATATGTTACATAGGTGGAATAATGTAGTTGTATCACCTTCTCTATATAAGACTTGCTACTCTGTGGATCTCTTTAAAACCATTGAAGAACCAGATAGTAGCATGGCAGGGAGGAGGATGGAGCTATACTAATAACAAAAAGTTGGGTTTAGTATAGTAGTATCTTAACATCTTGGTATTTATATTCAAACATCATATAAGGGGCTGGAATGTCAACTTCAAGGACAGTTTTGTTGTCTCCCTATTGATGTATAGTACTCCAATTATTATCCTTGTTACTATTTGTTTTTATTATTTTTGTAAGCAACCACCTTCCTGCTTCTAGCTGCAAATAGTGAAAGATGGTAAAGATGTGGGATATTGTGGTACTGATACAATTACTTATTGTTTCTCACAGTAACAGCTGTTTTCAAGTTGACTGCCCTCTATTGCACAGCCTTGAAACTCCCACCTAACCACATGTATACTATGTGGTTCAGTTTCGTTATAGCATGCAAATGAGCATGCACCAATCCTCCATCAATAGGAGTGCGACACATCCTCCTATTGCAACTGACTCCCTCTATGTAGTTGAATACAATCTTCACTTCTCGATTTGTGCTTTTAGATTGTGCTTCGTTGCTCTTGGTTTTGGAACTTCAATTTCTAATTGCAACTTCAACAATTTTTCACCTTTCAAGTTTGCATTTATTTCACTTATCAAGGATTGTTTGCCCCATCCCAACAAATTTCTCCCCATAGAGTGATAACCTTGACCTACAAGTCTTCTGGTGGTTATGTTCTCAGTTGGTTGATCTCAAGCTGAACGCAGTTGCCTCTCATTTGAATACCAAACTTCCTCTGTTTCGATCCATTATTCAACATCCTATGGCTTTGGTGTTCGATGCCCTCAATCAGGCTTTGCTGAGTTCTTCTCGTGGCTCTGTTCTGACCCTCTCTTCCAATGATTCCGTTAATTCTCCCTCTCCAGGTTTTTCCATTAGCTCTTCCTCTCTTCCCTTCACTACTCCATCAAGCTCACTTGATAATACTTCAACCTTCCATCCTCACACTCCAGCTTCATGAGTGGCTTTTGTCTGGGGTCTTGTGAGAGGTTCCAAACTTTCCACACATTACCCATGAGCTGCTTGCATGTGTGCCACGTGAACCATTTTAATTATATTATTATTATTATTACTTATTTTACCTGATCTAGTCTTAAATATGTAAAACAAGAAATAAAGTACTTACTAAATCTTCCTTATTTTACTCGACTGTCGAGGACAGTTAAGCCTGATTTCTTATAGATATTATAGTAATGCATTTAATAATTTTTATTTAATTAAATAATGTACCAAAGAATATAGACTAATAACATGCAAAAAGTAGACAAATTGCCTTACCTCTCCAAATTTTTCTGGCTTTCTAACTAACTGACAAGAGCCATTATAAATTCATCCAAGCTAGTCATTAACTTTCCCACAGGAACGAATCTTGTAGTGTGAGTGAAATTGACGAAAATCTGTTCAGAATACAATGTTATACAATACATCATTTCATAGATGAAAACCTTGAATTTCTATTGGTTTTAAGTAATATATAATGAAACATAAGAGAGAACTCTCAACGAATTGTGAAAGAGAGGATGTGACAGGTGGGTGTGGCAGGAGGGGTCTGATTTTTTATTTGATAGCTCTTTAACCAAACAGAATTGAAGACTAAAAATTATGGTTTGTCTGAGCAATAATGATTTTATAGAGAGTAATTTACACTTAATTTCGTATTTTTTCAAGGGGTGGTGGATAAATTAGGTATGATGACATGCTAATAAAAAATGTGTCATGTGGGTCACACTAGTTGAAAACTCAGGATTTGTTTAAATATTGCCTTGTAGAATTAAGAACTTAAAACTTTTATACTCTTAAAA